TGCGCCCTCTTGGGAACTCAGGATGGGAAGGATGGCTCCTTGTAAATCTACTGAGGGTGCCTGCAGTTGCAGAGGATTAGCGGTGGGTGTGAGGGGATCGGAGCGCAGCTGACCGGCCGCTCCTCCTGGTTGCTCACACACCGGTGATGACCTTTCAAGGATGCCCCCTGCGTTACTGTCGCCTTTCCGGAAAGGAGACGGAATCGGTGACGGATCAAGACGAGGAGCAGCAGCCGTTTGTTCCGGACTTGGACCGGCAAGAGTCGCAGGATCCTCCCACAGAGTTTCAAACGGTTTCTCCTTGAAATGCTGTGTGTTACTGGAAATGCCCCCGTTGTCATTGCCACTGCTGCTGCTGCTGCTGCTGCTGCTGTTGCTGCTGCTGCTGTTGCTATTGCTGCTGTGGGTGCCATCGCTACGAAGACTTCTCTGCTTCCGTTGCAGGTTCAGAAACCTGATCAGTAGCGACTCAAAGAACGCATCTTTCTCTGCCAGTTTCCATTTCCCAGGTCCCCTATTCTTTTCTTCTTTCATACAAGTAGCTACAACAGGAGGAGCAGCAGCAGCAGCAGCAGCAGGAGGAGGAGGAGGAGGAGGAGGAGGAGGAGGAGGAGGAGGAGGAGGAGGAGGAGGAGGAGGAGGAGGAGAAGGGGGAGGAGGAGAGGGAGCAAGGGGAGAGAATGTGGGGGGAAGAGGCGGTGGATTTGTTTGTGAGCAGATGAGCTTGTGGTCGATTCTGCCCCCATCGATGAACCGCAGCATACCATGCACCTGCCATGTGCCCCTGTGCCCGTACGGCAGGTGGGGGCCCAGCACAACGGCGTCTAGAGGGTCGCCTGGAAGGAAATGGACGCGGGGGGGGGGAGGGAGAGTATGAGTAAGCAGTGAAGCTGCGCATACCGTGCACCTGCCACGTGCCCGTGTGGCCGTACGGCAGGTGGGCGCCCAGCACCAACTGCGTCTAGAGGGTCGCCTGGGGGGCGGATGGGTGGGTGAGGGGGAGGACAGGGAGGACGAATGGTGTTGGAGTAAGCAACGAACCTCTGTATACCATACACCTGCCATGTGCCCGTGTGCCCATAGTGTAGGTGGGGTCCCAACACAGCGGCGTCTAGAGGGTGGCCTGGAAGGAAATGGACGCGGGGGTGGGGGGAGACAGAGGGAGAGGAGGGGATAGAGGTGTAGGAGCAAACAATGAACCTAAACAATAAACCTAAATAAAAAACCTAAACAATAAACCCTTAACAAGAAACCCTCTACAATGAATCTCAGACTGGGCGTACGCTTAGTTGCTACAAACGCTCTGGCAGACGCGCGTTTGAACGCAGACGCCAAACGAACCCTAAAACGCAAACGCTCGCTGGGTTTTTTTTTCGGGCTGCCCCCTGGAAAAAAAATCGAAAAATTTTGGGGCGAAATTGAGACTTGGCGAAGTCAGCACGACATTCGCCAAGTCCCAACTCCCAACCATCTCGTCAATATTCACCTCCCAACCAACTCCCCCCCCTCAACCGCACTCCACACATCGTCAACTAGAACTTCCAACCCCTCCTCCTCACATCTCGTAGTTTCACGCTAAGTCCCAGTCTCCTTCCCCCGTCAGATCTGCTTTCTAATTGCCGCGCGCCATAGCCGTAGCAACTTTCACACCCCACGCAATACCTTAACTTAAGGGCGCTCGCCCATGTCAACCCCTGAGAGCAATGCGGATGGTGCTGTTACAGCGTCCGTATGTTCTAATGCATACGAGGCGGATAAGAATCATGAGGTCTTTAAATACTTCCGCGTTCTAGTCAAGCAGGCCGGTGCAATGCAGAAAGACGAGTGTCGCTTTGTGGGCACAAGATGGCCGGTAGTCCCAACCGTTGCGCCGCACATTTCACCAAGTGGGATGGACAAGGGCAGGAGAATGGGCTTTAGGATATGTGTTTTGCATGACATTTGAAGATGCTTGCTTAAATGTTCATGACGGATTTTTTTTTCTTGGACAAAATGGTTGCTTGCAGAACCCCCATTTCCCCACCCCCCCCCCCCCGAAAAAATTTACCCCTGCCCGAGCAAAAATTTTAGGCCTGCCCGAGCAAGCGTTTGCCTAGCGTTCACATACACTATGACAAGCGTTTAGCGTTCAAACGCCAAACGCGTTTGTAGCAACTAAGGGCGTACTTTCACCGTCAAAGGGAGAATAGAGGGCACGAAGCAGCTGTAGGCGAACGAAGTGAAGGGCACAGGACGCAGCAGCCCACGTAGTCAATGTAGTATGTAGAAGGGGGAATAAGGGGGGAATACCACATACCACGTAGCAGTCAATGTAGCCTTCCTTCCCTCCACATTCCACGCGGGCCTCCTGTTGCTGCCCTGCCCACTGATCTGCTCTCCGAATAATATCTCGAAAGAACAGTCACTGACATGTAGGCGGCAGCAGCTGTTGACGAACGGTCCATCGCGACAACGGAGGGCACCGAGCCATAGTTGAAAGGGCACGGCACGCAGCCCACGTAGTCCATGGATCCGTCCGCATACCACTGGGCAACTCTGCTCTGCTCTGAGCAGCAGTGAAGTAGGGTGTGGGCAGCTGTTGACGCACCATCCAGCGCGAGAATGGTGGGCACGGAGCCGTTGTTGATGGGGTAAGGGACAGGACCCAGCCCACGTAATCTCTCTATGGAGCCGTGCGCGCGCATACCACCGAGCTCTCTTCTCTGCCCTGCTTTGCTAGGAGTAGCAGTGATGCAGGGGCAAGGGCAAGTGCAAGGGCAGGTGCAGTGCAGGTGCTGACGTACCGTCGAGCGCGAGAATGGAGGGCACGGAGCCGTAGTTAAAAGGGCACGGCACGCAGCCAACGTAGTCTATGGAGCCGTCGGGATGCCTCTTGACGAAGCTGCCCTTGGGCACCTCCACCACCACCTCGACGAACTTAGGCACGAAGATCTGGAGGGGTGGGTTGGGGGGGATGGGGGGAGAGGGGGGGGAGAGAGGGGGAGGGGAGAGGGGGGGGGGGGGGTAAGAAGATCTGCCCCTTGGATACGTCCACCACCACCTCGACGAACTTAGGCACAAAGACCTGTAGGGGGGGGGGAAGAGATAGAGGGAGAGAGGAGAGAAGTGGTAGGACAGAGACAGCTTGGTTGACGATGATATGCACTAGGCCTTTATTGGCGAAGCTGCCCTTGGGCACCTCCACCACCACCGCGACGAACTTAGGCACGAAGTCCTGGAGAGGGTATTGCCGGCGAAGACAGGCGAAAGCAGGCGAAACCGGAAGGACCTGTCGCGAAGGGGGTTCGTGAGCGAAAGCTATAAATCATGGCTCCGCTCCGCTCTCGACGTATGGCATTTCGTAAATAATAAAATAAAATAAAAAATGTGTCATTCTTTGTTCTCTGTCCGCAATAATCGGTCGATAATAGCAGCAGCAGCGGTGTGCTTGAGAAGAAGGTATGTGCACGAATAACGAGCTGACTTTTGAGTCGACTCAAAAGACACCTGAGAAGAAGGCATGTACATGAATAATCTGACGTGAAGGCATGTTACAATGTCACACAACACCTTCGCTTTTCAGTCGACTTCAAAGGCATCAAGGCATGTACATGAATAATCTGACGTTGTTTGCGGGGGGAAGTCGGCGCATTGGCGGCATCAGACCTCCAGTCCGGAGACCCCCGAGTCACCGCCAGAGATCTCCCCTTCCTCGCTGTAGCAGTCGCAGCGGAGACGGAAGCGGCGGTGGCGACGGCTGTCGCCTGCGGCACGGATAGGTTTGACCCCATAACCGGCTGGCCGTCAGCTCGTCAGGCACCTCGTAACCTGCGGCACGCCGCCGAATTCCAAATCTTGGGTATTCCACTTAGACTAATAGGCACGCGAGGCCATGAGGAAGGATTTAGGGTACGTGGGATCGATCAGTTGCCGTAGTGGTTCGCAATGGTCATGGCAAACGCCGCAAAGTGCGGAGAGATCGAGAGGTGCAGATGGGGTGTGGGGTATGGGGCAGGGGAGACTCGTGGATAAGAGTTTGTACGCGCTTGTGTTGATGGATAAGATCGATGGAGGACTACAGCGCACGTCGCGCAACCAGCCTTCAACACCAAAAAAAAGGCAGTTCATGTGTATCAAGACAAGGCTGCTCCATTTCAAGATGGCATGCTATGTCCCTCCTAAGCTACTATATAGACCCTAAAGATGCAGGAAAACTACACCAACATGTTGAGTTCAAAGGAATCGCAAAAAAAAAAACTAAACGAGACCATTTGGCTCGCGCAAAGTTGTAGTGTAGCTGCTTGCTTACGCAGCTGCTGCAAGGGGCGCTTTTTCGACGGAGCACCCGATAATGCGCTCCGCCAGCAGCAAGTCATCGGGAGTCGTGACCTGGCACAGGAACGAGGCCCATAGAACGTGAAACAAGATGGCATGGCATGTGGATATGGTGAGATGAAATAGGGTATGGAAAGAGGTGGCTTAACGTTGGAGTAAGGGGAGGCGGGGAGGAAGGGGGGGTGGGGGAGAGATGGAGATCAGGGTGCTGCTGAGTGTGCTTCGAGCGTACCTTGATGTTGGTGTACGCGCCCTCAGTGATCTTGACCGGCTGCTTGAGATACTCCACAATCGACACATCATCCGTCACCTCCAGTCCCTCCCTGCATGAGAGCAGCAATGGAGGGACGAGAGATGGACCGGCGTGTGAGACAGGTCATGAGACGAGTCAAAGTGATCTTGATGGGCAGCTTGAAATACTCCGTCTGTCGCCACCAGATGGTATGTCTGGTGAATACATGGTCTGTCTGTCGCTACCAGATCCTCCCTGCATGGTTGGGGTATGTATGGATGGATGGGGCAAGAGACAGCCGGCAGGTGTGAGAGTAACACAGGTGAGAGACAACCTGTTTGAGAGACGAGTCAAAGTGATCTTGATGGGCTGCTTGAGATACTCCACAATCGACACATCACGTCATCTGTCACCTCCAATCCTTCCCTGCATGGGTGGGTGGGTGCAGTGACCAAGGTTGGTATTGTCAGACAGGCCGTGTGAGGATGTGGGACGCCTCTGGGACTCCGCACTGTGATGGTCACAGGCTGCTTGAGATACTCCACAATCGACACGTCACGTCATCTGTCGCCTCCAATCCTCCCCTGCATGGGTAGAGTGTGGACGGGCGGGGGGAAGGGGGGGAAGTGGAAGATCAAAGAGACAGGTGAGGGATCAGCACCTGCAAACACCCCATGGTGTGATAAGGGCGGTAAGAGGGAAGGGGGGGTTGGGGCGGAGGTGTGGTGCGAGAGAGCCAATGCTGATAAGCCCATATGGTCACCAAGTTTGCAGTGAATCACCTTTTTTTAGGCGCCTCAAAAATCAGTGAATCACAAGCTGTGATTCACAAGGTGTGACTCAACAACCACGTTGCCTCAACCAGCCCCACCAGTTGATAGGCTCGAACCCCTTCTAGCAGCAGCTGCAGCCGCACCTGTTGACGAGCTCGAAGCCGTCTCGCAGCAGCTGTGGCCGCATCACCTGTGGCGTCTGCATCTCCCACAGAAGACGCCGGTCCAAAGTGCGGTGCACAAAGCCCTTGCCATCAGACTGGTAGCCAGAGGGGGTGGGGACAGAGGTAGGGGAGAAGAGAGTAAAAGAGAAGGGAGAAGAGAGTAAAAGAGAAGGGAGAAGAGAGGGGGGCTGATGGGGAGGGGAGAAAGGTCAGCATCTCCCACAGAAGCCGCCGGTCCAAAGTGCAGAGCACAAAGTCCTTGCTGTCAGGCTAAGAGAGCAGAGGGAAAGGGAGGAGGGGGGAGGAGGGGGGGGGAGGTGAGGGAGCAACAGAGACAGTAGTGGTTGCTGTGCCCCCTCAACCTTGATGCATCATCCAGCACTGCAACTGGTCCCACGTGCGCCGTGAAAAAAATCCCAAGCCGTCAGAATGTGAAGCAATGGACGGAAGGGAAGAGCCGGGAGGGATGGGGCACAGTCCTTGCTTTGCCCTCTTGAAAATGGTTTCTGGTCGCCATACCTCCTTAATATTAGTAACCATACGTCCTTAATAGTCATCATACCTCCTTGATAGTAGCCTTGGAGGGCACGGCAAGAACAGCAGCTCCGTGAGTCATGGCATCGGAAAAGACCTGTGGAGAGGAGAGGAGATGGGACAGGAGGAAGGGAGGGGGGTGGGGGTGGGGGGGAGTTTGGAGGAACGGTAGGTGATGCTTGAGTCGACTAAAGAAACACCTTGGAGAGCACAGCAAGCACAGCAGCCCCGTGAGTCATGGCATCGGAAAAGCCCTGCGGAGAGGAGTGGAGACGCGAGGAGGGAAGGGAGGGTGTTAAAACTAAAAAAATACCCCTGCCCCGGGGGGTTGGAGGGGAGGGGTTGGGGGGAAGGGGGGAAGGGGATGGGAGAGTCCCGATGACACCAATTTGTGGAAGAGGGAGACTGGGAGAACGGATCTTAAAACAGCAAGGCACGCAAGAGTCAAAGTCAATGGGAGTCAACCAAAGTCAACAGCGCTGACCTGGAGGGTGTCCTTGGGAGAGACGAGGGGGCGAGCAGAGTCGTGCACGGCCACTAGGGCCGACTACATTTGAGGTGCCTCAGATCTCAGAGCTGATCTTCCACCGACCATTGAGCCGACCTCACAGAGAGAGAGCCTGCTTTTGAGTCGACTCAAAAGGTAGCAGCGCTTTTGCATAAACTCAAAAGGTCTTAGATCTCAGGCGCCTCAGATCAAATCTCAGACCTGATCTTCTGCAGACCAGTGAATTGAACATACAGAGAGAGAGAGAGTCTGCTTTTGAGTCGACTCAACAGGCAGCGGTGGAACTGACCTGGAGGGTATCCTTGGGAGTGACGAGAGGGCGAGCAGAGTCGTGCACGGCCACCAGGGCCGACTCAGAGCTGATCTTCTGCAGCCCGTTGAACACCGAGTCCTGGCGCTCCTTGCCGGGCAAAGCAAAGCTGAGCGGGATGGTGATTCGCGCAGACGCCTCTGAAGGAGAGAGAGAGGCAGTGTGGGTTGGGAAGGAAGGGGGAGGGTGGGTGGGGGGGAGTCTGCCAGGAGTGGACTCAAAAGCGCTCCTTGCCAGGCAGCGCAAAGCTGAGTGGGATGGTGATGTGGGCAGAAGACCCTGAAGGGGAGAGAAAGAGAGGGGGGGGGGGGGGGGGGAAGAGAAAGCTGAGAGATATTGCAACGCAGGCAGGAGGGAGGTGGAGGTGGGAGTGGGGAAGGAGGGGGTTGTAGTGGGGGGAGAGTCGGGGGGAGAGTTGGAGGGGGAGAGGAGCAAGAATTGTGGTGCGAGGGGAAGGTGGACGTTGGGGTGTACCTTAGCAGAGGGCGTCGTAAGTAAGCTCGGCAGCCCATGTATGTAGAAGCAGCAGGGTAACCCAAGCTAACCAAGTGAAGGTGCGACTTTTGAGGCGCCTCAAAAGCAGCCCATGTAGCAGCAGGGTAACCCCAGCTGACCAAGTGAAGGTGCGGTGCTCACCTTGCAAGAGGTCGTGGTAACTGGGGTCTGCCACCACCACTATCTCCTTCACGCGTGCAACGCAAGCAGCCCATGTCAAGAAAAGCAGGGAGGCTCTCTCTCCAAGTGAAGGTGCGCTCACTGCTCGCTGCTCACCTTGGAAGAGGTCGTGGTAGCTGGGGTCTGCCACCACCACTATCTCCTTGACCTCAGGCATGGCAGCGAATGTGAAGAAACTGATGGGCAGACGCGGAGACAGGGATAGGGCGGGGAGGGAGGGGGACGCGAGGGGAGTCCGGGAGGGGGAGGGGGGAAGGTGGAGGGGGGAGCGTGCAGTTGAGATTGAACAAGAAGGGGTTGAGCGGAAAAGAGAGCGAGAGGGAGGATGGGGCGGGAAGAGGAGGGGGGGAGGATGGGGTGCATGGAATGGAAGGGGACACAAGATAAGGGGGCTCAGCTGATTCGGTGCCCATGCCCATGCTTACTCCCATACCCATAGCCATACCCATAGCCATACCCATGCTGTACCCCCATCCTTGCCCCAACCCAGGCCCCAACCCCATCATCCCCCGATCATCACTTGTACTGCTTCCCCCAACAACCTCCCCTGTAGCACACACACGCCACGTGATGCCATACCACCCAATGCCAAACCCAACGCACACCCACATGGCTACAGCTTCGGCTACTGTAGAGCGCTATGGGCTGGTCGCACACACGCACGCAAGTACTGCTTCCTAAACCCCCTCAAACCCCCCCCCCCCTCCCCCCCCCCCCCCCTTCCCGCCCCCTCTCCCACCCTCACCACACACATGCCACGCCAGACCCACATCAGAGCACAGCATCCATGTGGCTACAGACTGACTGCCACCCACCTGTAGAGCGCAATGGGTTGGTTGCACACCGGCAGATACTGCTTCGGCATATTGGCCTGATGGCGGTGGGCGAGCGTAGTGCCGCGGTGGGGGCGGCGACAGGGAGGGAGAGACGCGAAGATGAGACGGAGGATGATAAGGAGGAGACGCCAAGCTGAGTTGCTTTAAGGGGAAGAGAGAGTGGAGAAGACGGGCTTGGGAGGGCCAGACAAACAGGTCTCTGGGACCGGGTAGCTTTAGGTGGGTGGAAGCAGTTGGGTGGGCGTGGGAAGAGATGCAGGTGGTTGGGTGTGGGAAGAGCTTCGGGTGAGTGCGCGTGGGAGCAGCAGTTTCAGATGAATGGGTGTGGGAATGAGGGAGTTTGGGAGCACGTACGTACCCCCATGCGCTTGCCCACTCCGCCCGCCAGCAGCACCACAGACACACTGCGAGGGGGAACCACCTGGGGGAAAGAGTCGGGGATAAATGTGTGGGGGAAGGGGTGGGGGAGAGGAGGAAGGGACATGAGAAGGGAATCAGGAGTTTTCTTGATTGCAAGGACTTGTGCAAAGAGGCCTTCAAAGGCAGTAGGTCGCTTCCGCCTCCCTGGCTAACAGTACTGTCACACCGCCACCGACCGCCTTGCTTTCTGGGCCGAAAAGATACACAGACACAAGGCTACAGCTCGAGATTACCTCGGTTGCACCGTTGGTCGCTTCTACACTGGCTCGCACAGCCACCGACCGCCTTGCAGCCGCCGATTGCGCTCCTGCTGCCACGTGTCCCCTCAACGCCTGCCTCGATCCGCTGGTGGCGCGGCTGCTGCTCGCGTTTGCTAAGAGTTTGGGGTGCAACCGAGTAGGGAAATGTACGGTCAGGGGAAATGTGAGTACGAGGAATTTTCGAGGCGCCTCAAATATCGCTCCGCTGCTGGCGCTGCTGCTGCTGCCCGTGCCCGTGAACGGCTTTGGGGTACAACGGAATAGAGAAATGCATGGTCAGGGAAAATGTGAGCGCGAGGAATGTGTTTTGAAGGGAGAAGTGGGAGGCACGGCTGGAGGAATGTGTGCATTTGGTCGAGCAAGTCCGGCTAGTCCTAAAACCGAATAAATTATCAGAACGTTTTTTAGACGCATTATTCTATTACGACAATGTAGAGGTCGAGCAAATGTTATTTGACGCTTTTTTTTCCGTTCTGAAAGCGAAAAACGGTACGTTGACTGATAGTACACGATTCGTCGAGCACCCCGATACTCCTCGGTAAGCTATCATCGTTGTCGGATGTTCGACGATTATTAACGACGCGATGTGACGCGACAACTCGGACGCAAGTCTTAAAGACAATGTACAGCTATAAGTGAACTTCAGACTAAGGAATGGCTTGATGGTAACCCTAACTCAAGGAATATTAGACTAGGAAACAGAATGTACGAATAAACCACATTGTGGGAATCCTCGAAACGCTGTACCTCCGCTAAAGAATGTCCGCGGAAAAGCGACGGAGGAAGCGGGTTGGCTGCCTGTGCATGAAGATGGAAGCACAGCGACTGACGTAACAGCAGCAACCGCATATGCGTCGCTGATCACCATCGACGCCATGCCGAAATGCTTGCTCGACAGTGCACGAAGGGAAGATAGAGCGATGGGGAAAGCTGGCGGGAAAGAGCAGCGAATATGAGGCGTTTCCTGCCAAAGAAGGAAGGTAGGATGGGAGCGACAGGCGGTGGCCAAGTCGACACCTGCTGCTGCTCTACTTGCTGTGGATAAAGGTGCGTGGCCATTGTTCACATCACCTAGGGAATACCTGGAGATAATAAGTTACAGGGCGTGTTTCGCACGGGATGTAGAAGTCGACTCAAAACGAGCCTGAATATGGGAAGTGTAAATGAACTAAAACGTGAGAATACAAGGTCGCTATCGCAATGAAGGCACAATGTTATATAGGGGTTGGCGTGCTAGGGCGATAACCTCGGAATGTGGGTACGTTCGACAATGTGGCGACAGTGCCGAACGCGACTCGGGAAAGGGTTGGGCCGATAAATGAGGCCGAACGTGACGAGTCGATGAGTTCGGGTGAACGCGCTAGCGTACGACTCACGCTGTTAGAATCGGGTGTGATTCTATGTCAGCGAGGGGCACCTAGCTGTTATCCTCAGACGTCCGATCGCGCCAGCGGACGAGAAAATCCACCATTCATCGGTTCTGCTGCGTTGTGACTCGATGGCCGAGAATCTTCAAGGGCTCGGTCGTCGATTCCTGCAGAGGCATTAGCTGCGGTACGATACGTTGGCGTGCCAAATCCGACGAATTGGGAACGTAGGGTCGTAAGAGGCTGACGTGGAAAGACGGGTGGTGACACCAATCCGCCGGGAGTCGGAGGTGAGCGGTGACAGGTGTCACCATATTGGTCACTTGAAAGGGACCACATAATCGTGGGCGGAGTTTGCTCGGGATCGGCAGACGCAAATTGCGGGTGTTGAGTAGTACGAGATCTCCCACTTTGTAAGTGACGTTACGTCGATAACGATTGGCTTGTCGGCATGCGACCAGATTGGCTTTCCGGATTGCCTCGGCTGCTTTTTCTCGGGCTGCGAGGATGTCTTCGGCAAATCGCTGGGACCGGGGCACGGGTGTTTCGATATTTGGTGTAGAGGGTACCACGGGGTCCTGCCCGTAATTGAGGGAAATTGGGGACTGATGGGTTGTGGCGGAAGGCGCATTACTATACGTGAACTCCAGCAGCGGTAGGGATTTCTCCCATGTATGTGGGTCAGTACAGGTATTCCGAATGAATTTCTCCATAGTTTGGTTTACTCATTCAGTCTGCCCGTCGGTCTGTGGGTGGTAGGCGGAGGAAAACTGTAGTTTGGTGCCGAATTGGTCCCACGGGTGGCGCCAGAAATTCTATGTAAATTTCGGGTCTCGGTATGAAATAATGGCGGTGGGCAGTCCGTGCAGTCTGATGACGTTGGCGATGAACAGTTGGGCAGTTTGCTCAGCTGCAATTTTCTGTTGGCAGGCGATGAAGTGCGCCATTTTCGTGAGCCGGTCGACGACCACAAGGATGGCGTCGTTTCCGCTGGGACCGGCCGGTAGTCCTGTCACGTATTCCATCGTGACGTGTTGCCAGGGTCTCTTGGGCGGATCCAACGGCTGTAGTGGTCTGGCTGCTCGCTGATGGGATGATTTCATGATGTGGCAGGCGGTGCAGGAGGACACGTACTTGCGCACGACGTCGGCCATGTTCGGCCAGTAATAATTACGCTGCAACGTCTTCATGGGTTTGTCTACTCCGAAATGCCCGGAGGTAGGGTTGTCGTGAGATTCCTGGATTAGGGGGGTACGAAGTAAATTGTAGCCGAGAACCCAGATGCTGGAAGTGTCACGCGTATTAAAATAGTGTCTGGTAGTTGTGGTATGCTGTTGATGAATAGCGGAGCTGAAGAAGGGGTTGATTTTGTAGCCGTGGGTAAATATTCCGGTAAGCAGTGGGCTGATTTGGGCAACTAGTATGGCGGCTGTATGGGCAGTGGGTCGGGTCAGGGCATCGGCAATGTTGTTGGCACCCCGTTTGTAGGTGATGGTGTAGTGGAAATTTGACTCGAGGAAATCGAGCCACCGGATTTGTCGCGGGTTGAGGTTTGGTTGGGCGCGCAAGTACTGGAGGGATTTGTGGTCAGTTCGCACAGTGACGTCAGTGTCGACTTATACATATTAGCTATGTAGAAGTTATAGGCTAGACTGAGGTATGCTTCTAGTGAGTACAACCAACTAGTATTTGTTCTAGGTTTCCACCTCTAGTTATTATTCCTTCTCACGTTAACATGGTATCACGCGTAGGTTAGCATCCCCCACCTACCGCTTCCGCCTGTACCCTAGCTAGGCCTTGTCGCGCCTCCTAGCCACGTCGCGCCCCTCCTGGGCCCCGTCGCGCCACCCTAGCCCTGTCGCGCCCCTCCTGGGCCTCGTCGCGCCTCCTAGCCCCGTCGCGCCCCTCCAGGGCCCCATCGCGCCACCCTAGCCTCGTCGCGCCACCCTAGCCCTGTCGCGCCCCTCCTGGGCCCCGTCGCGCCACCCTAGCCCCGTCGCGCCACCCTAGCCCTGTCGCGCCCCTCCTGGGCCCCGTCGCGCCTCCTAGCCCCGTCGCGCCCCTCCTGGGCCCCGTCGTGCCACCCTAGCCTCGTCGCGCCCCCCCCTCGCCCTGTCGCGCCCCTCCTGGGCCCCGTCGCGCCCTGCCTGGCCCCGTCGCGCCCTGCTTGGCCTCGTCGCGCCCTGCCTGGCCTCGTCGCGCCCGCTCGGCCCCGTCGCGCCCGCTCGGCCCCGTCGGGCCCTGCCTGGCTCCGTCGTGCCCGCCTGGCCCCGTCGCGCCCTGCTTAGCCCCGTCGCGCCCTGCCTGGCCCCGTCGCGCCTGCCTGGCCCCGCCGCGCCTCCCTGGCCCTGCCGCGCCTTCCTGGCCCCGACGCGCCTGCCTGGCCCCGTCGCGCCCGCCTGGCCCCGCCGCGGCCTGCCTGGCCCCGTCGCGCCTGCCTGGCCCCTCCGCGCCTGCCTGGCCCCGCCGCGCCTGCCTGGCCCCGCCGCGCCTGCCTGGCCCCGCCGCGCCTGCCTGGCCCCGCCGCGCCTGCCTGGCCCCGCCGCGCCTGCCTAGCCCCGCCGCGCCTGCCTGGCCCCGCCGCGCCTGCCTGGCCCCGCCAGCACCTGCCTGGCCCCACCGCACCTGCCTGGCCCCTTTGCCCCGGCTCGTTCTGCCGAGCCGCCTCGGGCTCCGTCTCCTCTGCTCGCTCGTGCTGAGGCGCTTCGCGGCCGCCGTGCTGGAGGGGGCTGTCGCTGTGTTCCTGTGGAGCTGTGCCGCTGACCCTGCATGATGGCGGACTTCGTGCTCCGACTGGACGCCGAGGGCCATGTGGTTGACTTCGCCGCCTGGCTCTCCGATCTCCGCCGCCACCTTACAGGTAAGCGCCAGGATGGCCACTCCTTGGTTGTCCATGTAGACGGCTTGCTCCCCCGCCCCCCCGCACCTGCTCCCCTCCCTACTGATCCCTCCTCTGATGACTGTGAGACCTTCTCTACTGCTGCGCTTGCCCGTGCGGTCTGGGACTCCCGCGATGCAGTCGCTCAGGTTGCCATTAGCCACGCCCTCCCTGTCTCTGAGCGCTCGCGTTTTGCTACTATTGAGACGGCCAAAGCTTACTTAGACGCTGTTATTGCTCGCTATTCCACACCCGCGTCTGCTTCTGCTGGTCGCCTGCTCTTCCCAATGCTTTTCCCAGACCTTGCAGCTTTCCCTACCGTCGCAGACTTTGCCACTCACCTGCGTACCCTAGAGACCCGCTATCGCACTGCCAGCACTGCTGCCCAGCTCACTGCGCTCCCCCCCCCTTTCTGCATGACGCTCTATTTTATCGCCATGCGCCTGCCAGACCGCCTCGCTAGTGCTCGCGATCACTTCCTTAGCCAGCACCCGGGTGACCTCACCCTCACTGCCTTTGTCGATACCCTCACAGAGATCGAGACTCGCCAGCGCACTATCGCTCAGTCGAGCGGTGCGCCAGCAGTTTCTATCTTTCACGGTTGTGCCCCCTCCCAGTGTACGTTCACTGACGTTTCGGCTGCGGTCGCCTCGGCGGCCCCTCTCACCGAGACGGCTGGTGCGGTCCACCCGCAGCAGCGCTCGCGCCGCGGTGGCCGTGGTCACCAGGGAGGTAGGGGTGGTGGCGCTAGTGGTGGTGACGGTAGTCCGCTTGCGGGGACTACCACTGGTGGGCAGGAGCATCAGCCCCAGCCGCAGCAAGAGCAGCCCCAGCCGCAGCCGCCACCCCAGCATCAGTCACCGTCCCAGCAGCAGTCGCCGCAGCAGTGGGCCCGTCTCCCGCCTGGTTGGCCCGGCACCTCCGGAGGTAGTGGCCTTGGTGGCGGCCCTCGCAGCTTAGCGTCTACCGGCGGCTCCGGTGCTGTCACCTGCCAGTACCAGCTTCAGACCGGGCCTCTTCGCGGCACTCTGTGCCGTCGCCCGCACCCGATCGCCCGCTGTTTCCGCCGCCTCGACGATCTCTTTCGTCGTCGCTTTGGCCCAGCCCCGGACCTCCCCAACGGGCACAGCCTGCTCCGCCAGGGCGTGCCGATCTTTGAGTTAGACATGGATCAGATAGGTGCTGCTTTGCATGCTTTGTATTCTGACGCTTCTAGTTTTGCTGGATCTTATTACCTTGTGTACTCTAGTTTTGGTGTTGCACCACTGTGTAGCTTAGCCTCCCCTGCTGCGTCAGGCGTAGGACTGCCTAGCTTGCCTAGTCTAGTCGCTGCACTGGCTCCGTCCCCGGCCTCCGCCACTGCGTCGCTGTCCTTCACTCTCGACTCCGGTGCTTCTGCCTGCTTCTTCCGCGACTGTTCCACGCTCACGCCGCTTGCTGCACCTGCTATTGTCTCTCTCGCTGACCCCTCTGCGGGTCTTGTCGTCGCGCGCAGTTCTACGTCCCTTCCCTGTCCAGCAGTTCCCTCGGGCTCCCTTACTGGCCTCCGCGTTCCCTCGTTCTCCAGGAACCTGGTTGGTGTCGGCTGTCTCCAGGACCTCGGCGTCACCATCACGTTCCCCGGGCACGAGCGGTTCGCTGTCTGTTCTGAGGCTGTGTCAGGCTCCCCCCTTGCGACGTTCCCCCGGGACCCGGTGTCCGGTCTGTTTACCCTCGACACCGCTTCCCCCCCAGTTGGTGCGTCCTCCCAGGTCACTGCAGCTTGCTCGTGTCGGTCCCTCACTCA